GGAATCCTGAGAGTTGAAGTCCACACATCTTCAAGTGGCCAAGGTTGAGAAACACAGCTTTAACCTACCTTTAAAAAGCAGACCCTGTCTCTTTATAAAAGCATCCCAGTGTGCTAAATAAAACAATGAGCAACCAAATTTTACTCCTGAATTCACATTTTAAGTCTGCAGAGTTAGGTTCATATGAGATTGTTTCAAAGCACATAAGCACGCTTAATTTTTCACATGATCAAGGTTCACATAATCCCAGAAAAGCATATATAGGAAAATGCTAAAGAGGAGCAGATGAAATCTAACATTGTCAGAATTATAATAACCTTGTTCATGGACAATTAAAAAAAAGGAATTTTTACTATTCCTTTTAATAATTCTGCTCCATTTTCATATATTTTATCAACATAATAATGATGTGTGATATTTCCATTTTTAACAATGAAGACTGAGAGATCTCAAGTTCATGACCGAGGTAGAACTTAATGTCTCCCATTAGGTGGCTGAAGAAAGAACATTCTATTTGTAAAGAATATTCTCTCCCATTAATATAAGCCACAAGAACTGAAGACAAAAGTCACAGAAGAACTAAGTGGATTCAATCTATTCTCTTCCACCCAATTTGGGGGTACATTGCTCCATTACCTCTTCTTTTCAAGCAGTGTCTCTCTTTTGTGATGGATCTCCTGGTGCTGTTGCTCCTTCTTAAGCTGTCTCTGCTCCCACTTCTGTCGTTTGAACTCTATTTTAGCTGGATTGACATCCACCTCTCTGGGACCATCCCAAGATGCTTTTTTCTCCATTAATCTCTGAAAAGAAGACTCCTTTATATCAGGATAGTTTTTTTCCAAGTCAATCTATTAGCCTTCAAGTCAAAGCAAAGCTGAGGTGTTCCTCAGACACTTTAGGTCTGGTGTCTCAAAGATTAACTGTGTAAAATGCATGGTCTTCAAGAATTGCCCTTCCCCCCAATATTATATGGATGAGAGGAGGAGTATTCTCACCTGCGCAGATGGTGGTGCACTACAGCTCCTTCTGCTGTGCAAAACAGATTCAATAGCTAAACGATCTTCCTTCAGTGACCTGTCCACCCAGTCAAGCATTGCCTGGAGTTTGGAATTGTCTGTGAAGTAAGTTTTCCGACAGGTATTTTTTTGGGAAGGCTGGGCTGAAGATCCGCTCATGCTGGGCTGGAAAAAACCTGTCATATAAAATAATTCCATTCACTGCACAGGTAAATGACACTAATGGTATAGATATGATGGAGGCATTGATCTGAAAAGGGGACCAAGAAATTGCTTGAATCACCAGCAACTAGGCCACTGCAGGAAATGAGAGTGCTTCTATCAGTCATTCTTGTATTTATTATGTTTTTAATGCAACTTCTCTCCATTGATGTCTCTAAAAGACATTTAAGTTAAGGACTAATTCAATAATAATCTTTTTCTCAGAGATATTTGTATCTTGTGATCCATCAGAAAAGAAAATGAGTACAAAGAATCACCTCTGTATCATAACAACACATGGTATAACCTGAAATGTAACATGGCAATATTGTAAGCGTACAAATCCAAATACAGAGGGATGTTCAGGCTAGCACACCTGGAGCCCCATGTGTACTAAATACGTAGAAATACTGTTCCCCTGAGAGAGAGCAATAGAGGATCTTCTGCAGATGAGAGACATCACCTGCTCTTCTGATCTCCTCTTTATTATTAGCAGAAAGAAGCTGAATATGCACAAAAGATTAGGGCAAAATCAGCTGATACGCTAGTATCAATGCCTATCAGCAAGTCACCAGAACTCCCCACATCTCTTTTAGTATAGCTGCACACATTTCTGTTTTTGCTGAGTTGTCCATTTGCCTGTATTGGTCGCTCTATCAACCATGGTGCCAGTATCGTTCGTTGTATCTTCTGAATTCATCACTTTCTGATGATCCTACCAAAAATCAAGAAAAAAAGCGCCGCTGAATACATTAAAGATGATAATGATGGAAATACTTACCTACCCTGTGCTGTTCAGCTCACGAAACTTTCAACAATATCTGGCAATAGCTTATAATTGCTTTGGGGAATGGGGCAGGGGGGAAGATTCCTTGCCAGAGATGCAAGTTATCAATATAATGTTGTACCTTACTAGGTTTTGCAACTTTGATTTGCTTCTCTTCCCAGGATTTTGCATCTGCTAAATTTGTTTCCTTCCTTAGTTTGCTGCTATCTTCTTTTGTATCCTCGTTATTGTCTGAAATGAGTGGTCTGCCTTTTGAAAATTGGTCTTTTAACTTCTTGCTCAGTTCCTCTTTTGGTGGCTTGACTCTTGGGATTAAAGTATCATCTGCCCATGTTGAACTTATTGGAGATATAGTATGATTCTGTAGTGGGCAGCAGAAGGACCAAGGGGAAAAATGGGTGTTGCTGCCACAGACACCAATGCAGTGGACCTTTAGAGACTCAGGCCAAAGCATCCAGGGTAAATGGTTACGCCTGCAAGGTCCAGAAGCTCTGTACCCAGGTGGCACAGCAGAAGGATAATCTGGATTCTGCTCCACCAACAGCTGCCTGGCTGTTAATGGCATCTGAAGCTCAAGAACAATGCGCTCGTACAACGGAAGAGGGATCCTCACAGCAACATCTGCTGATACTGTCTTGGTCTGGCCATTCCAGAAGTTAATCAGCACTTTGCTATTTTGAAAAGCTGTAAAGGGAAACACACAGGGAGCCATATTTTAGAAGCAAACAACATTGCTAAGTTAGGTGTGGCTCCAGCTGCCCCTACCAGCAGATATTGCTCCTCTGTGGATTCTTGTTTCAGTTGGCTGCGTTTCCCTCCGCAAGTCTTTTAGAGCGGGGATAGGCAACATGGGTTGCAACATTTTTTGTCACCCAAAATCGTGTCACCAGAGTAAGCAGGGTCAATTTGGGGGGAAGTGGGTCTTAAAATCCCTTCAAATAGTAAATGATTATCTAAGTCTTTGCAAGTTTTAAGTCATCTATTTCAATCATCTGAAAAAAAGCGGACCCTGCACCTGTGGGGAAAATGCTAAGAAGAAAAAAACATGTTGTTAATGTTGCTATTTTCTACTCTAGGATTTTTTTCTTTTTAATTAAATGTTAAATATAACAACATTGATAATAAAAATCCAGCTATTCTACAGTTGGCTATTCTAAAATCCATGCAACATTGGCAAAGCAATACCACTGTCCTTTTCTAATGCCCTTATAAACCTAATGCCCTTCTGGATGCCTGCCAGGAAGACTAAAAGGAGGGGGAAGTAGCAATTGCAGCCCCATTTCCCCTCCTTCCTCCACTTTTTTTTTCCAAGCATACCCCTCCCCTTTTGAAAAGGAGGGGTAAAAGGGATTAAATCAATGCCAGCTCTAGGGCTTAGATCACTGTTTCTCAATCTTAGCAACTTCAAGATATGTGGACTTCAACTCCCAGAATTCCCTAGCCATCATGCTGGCTGGGGAATTCTGGGAGTTGAAGTCCACACATCTTGAAGTTGCCAGGGTTGAGAAACACTGGCTAAGATCCTGCATTGTTTTGGTGGCCTCTTGAAGAAGCTCAGGATCATTTTTTTAGGTTCAACAGACCAATTCCCTGGCTAGGCTCCCTTTGTGGACTCTCTTGACGTTGGGCTTTTTCAAAGTCAGAAAGAGAGTAGGAAAGAAAGGAATCTGAAGCTGGTCCTGGCTTCTGACTTCTCCCTCTCTGCTTTTAGAATGGGAAATCCGATACATGCTAGGACCTTCAAGAGCCATAGAATTGGCACAGAAACATTTCCAGAGTCTTTTGGTTTTCCTCACCAGTCCCTTCTATGAAATTTTGAAATTGTAAGCTTCGCAGCTTTTCACTGATATGTGAGGTGCTGTGCCAGCTTAACTGGCTGAAAAGTAGGAAAATTTGAAGCCCACACATCTTAAAGTTCCTGAGGTTGAGAAACACTGGTTTAAATAAACAGACAAGCTGTATAAGTAATGTACCATTTGAAGCAGGTGTGGTATCCCTTTGTCTTTTGAGCATGGATTGTAAAAAATGCAATGGATGCTAATAAGCCTATGGAAAGAAGCCAAATTTAAGCCATACCTGAATAATCTGATCTGGTTTCTGCTACTTGGAGAACAATGCCTGGGCCATATCGTTTGCCGTTCTTCTCCCATGGAGCAAGGGTCCCATCTCCTGCAGATAATGGCTGCCACCTGGCATCATCATAATGGATGATGTCATAGAGAGGTGTTTCTTGCCTTCGAAATGGAGCCGTACCTTTCTGTGGTTGCTGGCATCTTTCAAACTCAATTAGAACATGTTCATTGGAGTCCTGTGAGATGAAGCCAGAAATCCTGCCCTGTAAACCTGTATAGAGTCATCTTATACTGACCATCTTCATTTTGAAGCACAGGTCTCCAAAATATAAAGTAGAGATTTTACTCACCATAATTTATTCACACTAATATATAAAACAGAGATTTCACTCACTCACTAGCACTGATGATGGTCCCTAGTTGGGTAATGAAACGTCTGCAGGCAAACAACCACGCTCAGAAAGCACCAAGGACTCCACAATTCAACCCTGAGCTAGAGATACTTTGTTCTATTAAAATAGAGATGTTCAAGACATTTCCATTTTGAAGCAAAGCAAAGCTTAAGTTTCTATCTTGTTCTTTACAGTATATTACTCTTAAAGTGGTTTGCACAGCACACAATAGAACCATCAAATTGAATAATTGTAAACAGTAGATGACATTCACTAGAGTTTTGCCAAATAACTTTATCCTGAAGTCTTCTCAGAAAGATTCTTTCTGTTGAATTGCACATGGCAGCCTTTCCTGCTTCACCTACCTCAATAGCAGCAGAGGCTTTGTCTATCCTGGCCTTTAATACACATACAGTCCCCCAAAGCATTTATAATATGTATTTGTATTTTATTCATTAGATTTCTGTCCCAGGAGCTCCAGACTATACACACAGAACTCCCACTTCCAATTTGATTTCCACAACCACAGCCCTATGAGGAAGGTTGGGCTGCAAGATAACAGCTCGTCCAAAGTCACCCAGTGACCTTCCATGGCGGAGGGTGGAATCGTTCTGGGCCTCACTGGCTCTAGTCCAGCACCTTTAAAATCACCCCACACTGGTCCAGAGAGATGCCTATAAAGCTGTACTCTCATAGGAGACACATGCCAAAATGAATCTTCAAATCTGGCTGATATGGGAGTATTTCCCAGTCTTTTTTTTTTTATCAGTTGCGATGAAACCCACTTATGACCTACCTCACTGTTTCAGCCCTGCCTACCCAACCACACACAAAGGCACATACAAAACCAATGGAGAAAGAACTCAATGGAGCAGCAGCTATAGGTCCTCAATATAAAACCTACCCCATAATGTATTGAGATGCTTAGTGAAAAACACTAATTCAGGCAAACCAGCTTACCTTCACCTTTTGGACAATATGACTGAGATAGTAATATCCATCTGTCTCTTTTCTAGCGAGGACTCGAATCCCTCTCAGCAAATTATGGGTGTTTGTGGAACAGTCCCCTAAATCCTCTTGTACAGAACTTCTTGGAAATGTGTTACCAGTATCTGGGCCCTGTGCACCCAAAGGAAATCTGTGACACAGGAAAGCGACAGGTATCAGGAAGCACATGACTGCTCACCAGAGAACTGGGATTGCTTGGACTGATATAAATGGATGAACAATAAATATCAACCCTATTGGCACTTACAGCTCCATTCTAACATTGGTAAAATGATTAATCATAATGTTAAAATCCGCTGGAGCCTAAACTTACAGTGTTGTGCAATGATCTGTCAGCAGAGGGAAGCTGAGATGATTGCTGATGCTACTAGGATGATGAAAGCCTGAATTACAACCAGTCTTATCCTAAAAGGATAAAGGAAATTAGAGAGCAATAATGTAACTATTCTTCCGGATTTTAAATTGGTAAGACTACACAGTATTTGGGTCCTTTCCAACAATTTGATTTCATGTGTTGGTTTACACATATGTGTTAATTCCTTGTTGGCTATGGATACCAAAGGGTCATACTATGGATGGTAAGACAGTTATTCTCTGCAATATGTCTGAATGCTCTCCTGCTGACCCTCTCATGTTTTTGAGGGATTTTCTATCATGATTTTTAGGTGCCTACTAAAGACTTACCTCTTCAACCAGATCTTCCTAGAGTATTACCATTTGCGTCTTCCTCTTTTCCTCCTACCTTTTAACATATGTATCTTTATATTTTTGGTTTTTCATTAAATACGAATTTTATAAATTTTACAATTTTCATTAATTTTAATTTTATATTCTATTTTAATAATGGTTATTTTTGTTATTTCTACAGGACTGTGAGATGGATACCTCAGAACAGCATTAAAATAAATTAAAGAAAAAAAAAATGAGCCTTTGTAGAAGCAACACAACAGACTGAATGTTCATATTATGAAATGAATATAGTTCAGCAAAGTCAGACTACCTGTATTTGGCTAATCAAAGAGTGACTCATCAGTAGTTATCACAGTTCCCCCAAATCAAGTGGTCAGATGAACTCAGATTCAGAATGACTACATCTGCAGTTTACCTCATAGGAAGCCCCATCAATGGCTTGGAAAGTACCACCAGACACCTTGGCTACTTTCTCCAATAGCCTTTGACAGCTAATTTTATTGTCCTCTCCATTTTCTACCAATTGCACAATATGCACTGGACATGACTGCTTTGTCTCCTTAAGGCGGCTACACATTTCTTCCACAGAGCCCTCGGGCAATCCGCTGGTGAACAGATACACTGCTTGGCAGCTGGGATCATCTCTCACTTCTTCTATGGCATTCCAAGCACTGGCCTTCCCCTTGCTATTCATCTGCAGAGTTCTGATCCAAGCAGCTGCATCCATGATGCTGGTGAGGGAACATTTTACCAATTCATTCTGCCATTTTAACACCTGGAGAAGAAATGGCTTGTCTCTTTAATGGATCAAAACAGAAATGCGATTACAAAGGCTGCATCTTTCAAAGATTATTCCCTTGAATAAATGTTGCTGTATTTTGAGAATCTATTTTAAACTAAGGGCCGCCTTCTCCGTGCCATAACAAATAGCATTGATTTAATTTGGAGTACTAATCAACACAAACTTCATTATGTGGAAGCACTCTAGAGTGAAATAGTTCTTTTGTTACACTTGATAACCTTTTCATTACCTTGCTGGAACAGAAGATGATACTGAACATGGAATCCATTAGTTTGCTACCCAGTGAATATAGAGTTCGTATGAGAAGTTCTTTCATGATACATGGATTGGAGAGATTACTTTCTGAAGTATACACCACAAAAACCACATTTTGTTCATGAATGCCAGCCAGTAACGGTACAATAGCGTGACAGAGTTGAGGCATCCTAGATCATAAACATTAATTACATAAAATAAAAATCATGGTAATAATTTTGATGACAAATTTGTAAACACATAAACACTTCACCAATGTTTCAAATATTTGCACAACATTCTTTATCCCAACGATAGGATGAATCCAGGCTTACTCAAGATCTGTGAAATTCATGGAATTTAATTTAAATATAACTTAGATTCTACTAATTTCTTTCTGCTTAATTTAAGATTCAAGCCAATCCACTAGTCTCAGATTTTCCTAAATTTCCTGCCTATTTATATTATTATAAACACTCCCTATTTCCCCAAAAAGGGAAATTTGTAATTTCTCTACAAATATAAATGGCATTCCCATGCTTTTTTAAAATTCTTCCAAACAATAGAGTTCCTGTAAAGCATTTCAAATACCAAAAAGGTTAGGTAACTTGTAATGCCGTTAGTGATAAATAACTGTATCTTTTGACTTAGTCTATATAAATTATCATTTGACCAAAAAAAAAAAAATCACAGAATGCATAGTAAACTTTTGAAATTCATTGCCACAAGACTCGATGATGGCCACTAAGAGTTTATGTATTCATTCATTTATTTTCAAAAGTTAGGGAGCAAGAATATAACCCTATTGGTTTAAATCTGGTACATCCCTGTGTCTGGAAAATGTCCTGGGAAGCTGAAGCTGAATCTGTCACTTGATTCTCTGTTAGGACTGCTCCATTCATCAATCAACAGCCATCAGTCAAGTAAGGGCAACCTCAGATCCAGGGGCAGAGCAAACGGACATCTTTCATGATCGTGTCTTGTTTAAGAGTTTCTAAAGGCACCTGACTGGCTGTTTTAGAACTACTGTAGGCATCGATGAACCTGGGGTACTCCCAAGGCCATAATTGATGACCGTCTCTCCCATGAGGAAATGGGGACCTATAAGTAAATTACACAAAGTAACTTCCACTTAAAGAGGAAAAACACACTTAGACATCAATTTTCAAAAATGCACCAAAAATCATTACAAAATACCCAAACATGCCATCTGTAAGACTAACCATAGCAATAAAAGTACAATAGCAAACCAGCATAGTACCACTTAAAAGAAGCTACTGGGGCAGTTCCCCTATCCACAGCTATTCTGTATCTGTATCTCTCTATATCTAAGGAACAGAGCAGTGGCTTGCTCCACTGTGCTTATTGTTCATCCATCATATCTGCACTTGCACGTTTTATTTACTGCCTCCCACCTTCCTTTAGGGTGCTGCTCCAGGTCGCCCACTTTGCTCTGACCCTCTCCTAACTCACCTGAATCCGAAGCCCAACTCTGCTGCTTAGCAACTACCAGGCACCACAGACTAAACCATTTCCAGCACCTCTATTGGGGAGGACAACCCCCTGCATATTTGCAACATGTACCGCCTGCAGCAGAGTCAGCCTTGACGGATCTCAAAAAAAGCAAAGCAGGATGGGACTGGGTTAGTGCTGGGATGGGAGACCACCAGGAAATCTCAGGGCTAGGTTGAGAATTTATAAAGAAAATAGCAGGAGGGGGATTTTTTTAAAAATGTTTTTTTACATGGAGTTTTGTGTCTGTGCAGTTCCAGGAATCTAGCCCTACTTGGAAGAGTCTTTGCTTTACTTTTTATCAATTAGCGTTCTGATTCCACTGGCCCCTCCGGTGATGAATTGAGAGCGGGAACCCAATTTTCTCCTCTTTTTCTTCCTGGACCAAAACGCTGAAGAACGCGCACCCACCTCAGCCAGAGGGAATCTTTCCCAGTCCGTTTCCGGGACGCCCATTGGAGCGCGCCAAAGACAGGCAAACTTGCCAGCCAATCAGAGCGCGGGTTACCGGGCGCTTCCGCCCGCCCAGCTGCCGCAAGTAACCTTGGCGGTCGCGGGAGGCTTCGGCGGCCTCTGGGATGGCCGGGCCTCTGTGCCGAGTGACGGGAGGGCTGAGCTTGGTGGCCCGCCTTGTGCGCGCCGGAGGCAAGCTGGGCGCGAGGCCTGGAGTGCGGCGGTGAGTGGGGCAGCTTGGCGAGCCGGAGGCTGAGGCAGGCGGGCGGAGGAAAGAGGGGGGGGCCCGCGGGCGGGGGGAGGGCCGGGGGGGGGGGGGGTGGGTGGGG